ACAAAACGGCTGGAAATCGAGCCTAGATGGAAGGGTGCCTGATACGAAGCTGCTGAAGCCATAGACAGGTTGGGGATGTTTTACTAATGCTTTGTTCAGTGAGGAAAACTATTTGCGGATAAGTTTTTTCCCTAAGTAAAAGCAAGGACACGCTTACCAGCTCACGCTTTGTTCAGACCAGCCACATGACTATTTAGAAAAAAAAAATCGCAAATGCTTCAATAAGATTGGCTACCGGTTTGCGAAAAAGATAAACAACAACAACAACAACAACAATATATATAGCACTTGCTTATTAGCGAATTTGATAGCACAACATTCAATGTAACATTTATTGAAAACTTGAGGTATTTGTTCGAAGATAATCTTGTTAGATTCTGATTTTGTTTTCCGGGTCTCTTTTTAAGTGCTTAATGCGTGACTAGGTAGATTTCCTACCGTTTCGTACTTTCCGGAAAGAAAGAAATGTAATATAAAAACAGAATAGCAATGAAGTAAGGCTGATTACTACGTAGAAAACTTAACGCGACAACGACATGATAGAGTCCAAACTGACACCGCGCACAGCTGAATGTTTCGATCTGGTTGGGTCTCGTCAGCACGGTGTAGCACCAAAAAGTAAGGCAACGAGCACGAAGGCCAATTGTCTACTAAATCCACACAGTAATGACCAGAGCGCGAATACTCAGGTTACAGCTTACTAGGTTGTGAGATTTCCGCATGCAAGCTAGTTCGTCCCGTAACTCTTCTTATGTTCACACAGGAGTACATGCTGATAATTTCTGCAGAATAAGGAAAAAGATCAAGTCGATCAATTCCCTTGTCCACAAATTGTACGCAGAGGGACACAAGTATAAGCTAGTATATAAGTTATCAAGTTTTATTATCAATTAAATATTTTCGCTCGCACACGATTGGTCTAAACACGTCCCGTGTTAAATATACCCCAGCTAAAACTGAGGATTTAAGTATTTTTTTAAAATTCCACGTGTCGCGAAAAATATTTGAAGGAAAATAAACACAATAGCCTCCATTTGACTTTGCACGGATGTTTGTCTTTGGACGTTAACTGTTCTTACTGAGCCTAATACCCCACGAGTCATTTTCTTGGTATACATGAGCCTTCAGGCGGCGCGTAGACCAAGAAAGTCAAGAAAAGGCAAATGGCAAGTGAGATATTCCGTGGTATACCACGAGAGAGCGTTGTATAACTATTTTATAGCATGCCATAGAATATACAGTGGCCAACACAATCAATGCGACAGACATGATGGGATGGTTGGATATAATACCGTCGAATATACAACGGCTTTCCTGTATTCTGATTGGCTGTATTTCCTATGATGATCGACAAGGACGAGCTTCCTAACAAAACAGGGACTACAGTCTCAAGAAAACCTGACAATATCGCACATAAAAGCAAAGGCGACCACAACGTGGAGCTGGTTGAACAATTATAGGAAGAACTCCTAAATTCAGAGCTTTTTGCCTGCACAAAACCACACAATATCATAAAGAACACGCAAAATAGTCCACAGACTTGCGCGTGAACATCTACATTTGTAGTTCCAGAACGTACAAACTAGGAGGA